GACGTCACTGAAGGTGCAGCAGGTTTTCAGCACTGCTTACACCAAACTACTGCTGCTGAGGTGGCCAAAGGTATAAGCAGTCACATGGTTCTGACTGCTGAATGTAAAACATACCCTGTTCTGTTGCAGACAATTCATGCTGTCACTGCACAGTGCCAGGCCATTTCTGCAATATTCTGGGGTTTGGGGTTCTTTTTATTATTTAAACTAATATAAGCAAGTTCTGATGCTAATTAAGATCAAATGAATCATTGAATCGTAGAGTGGTTTGGGTTGAAAGCAGCCTTAAAGATCACCTAGTTCCAATCCCCCTGCCATGGGGAGGGATGCCTCCCAGTAGACCAGATTATGCAAAGCCCCATCCAACCTGGTCTTGAACACATCCAGTGATGGAGCATCCACAACCTTTATGGGCAATCTGTTCCACTGCCTTACCACTCTCATAGTGAAGAACTTCTTCCTTACATCTAATCTAAATCTAGCCTCTTCCAGTCCCTCCCCAGCTTTCTAATAGGCCCTCTTCAGATACTGGAAGGCTGCAGAAAGATCTTCCCAGAGCCTACTCTTCTGCAGGCTGAACAACCCCAGCTCTCCTAGCCTGTCCTCATAGGAGACATGTTCCAGCCCTCTAATCACCTTCATGCTCCTTCTCTGGACCTGCTTCAACAGATCCATGTCTTTTTTTGTGTAGGGGTCTCCAGAGCTCGACCCAGTAGCCTGGGGTGGGGGCGTGTCTTATGAGACCAGAGTAGAGGTGCAGAATCACCTCCCTCGACCTGCTGGTCACACTTCTTTTGATGCAGCCCAGGATATGGTTGGCTTTCTGGGCTGCACTTGTACATTGTTGGCTCATGTTGAGGTTTTCATGGACCAGCATACACAAGTCTTTCTCCTCAAGACTGTTTTCAATCCATGCTCTGTCCAGCCTGTATTTCTGCTTGGTATTGCCCTGACTCAGGGGCAGGACCTTCCCCTGGGCCTTGCTGAACTCAAGAAATTCAACAAGAGAGGTTGGCATGGGCCCACCTCTCAAGCCTGTCAAGGTCCCTCTGCATGGCATCCCTTCCCTCCAGTGTTTTGACCACACCCTATAGCTTGGTGTCATGTGCAGACTTGCTGAGGGTGCACTTGATCCCACTGTCTTTGTCACCAGCAGACATTGAATAGAGAGATACATCTTTGTTGCTATAACAACTTGAAAAATTGATAGTATTAAAAATGTTTCTGAAATAATCCCTTGATCTTGATTTTATTTAATTTCTTTAAGCATTCCAGACTCAGTTCTTTCCCTGCCTCTCTCTTCCCTACCATACTACGTATTACATAACTCAATTCTCTTCTGCAGGATTGCTTGACATATTGTGACTTAATCAGATAAAAGAAAATTAAAAATATTTACCCAGTCCTTTGACAAACTTCATAAGGCACATAATATAACTGGTGGCAGCATTGGCAAAGACTTGGATGCTGTCTGTGTTTAGAAAAGCTTCAAAGACATCGAACACCGGAGCCTGGCGTTTCCCTGTGGAAATAACAAGATGTGGAAATAAGAATAAAATCACCCATAAAGCTGATTTTCCAGAAGTTTTTCAACAATTTAACTGAATCTGTAGAACCTTCATAGGAAGTAACACAGACTCCTTCCTTCGCCTTATCTATGAAAAATACCAGCTTATGCCTGCCCAAATGGTAAGGGCAGGTTTGAGCTCTTGAACTCAGTTCAGTTGCTAAGTGGAGGTTTTTGGTTTAGCTCTTGATAATTGCCAAGGTAACAGAAGCCACGTGGAAAACTATTGAGACTGAATAGTAACAAAACAGCCTTGCTCCTCCTAGGTAATTATCACTGGTCAAAAGCAGCATACACTTGTATTTTCCCATTTATCACAACAGATGTGAAAGAGAAAATTTAGGAGGAAAATCATATCCCTCACACGTGACTTATAACATTAAAAATACCTTCTAATGGGGCAAAAGAACAGATTAAAGTGATTTTCCCATATTACCCAGTTTCCGCACATGTTAACATCTCTGGGAGGGATGTAGAATCATTCTTACAGAAAACATGGCTTGTAATAGTGCTAGCAATTTGCAGCTTTGTGATATAAGTGCCCTGGACAAGCACTTGCCTAGATTATCATGCTAAGTTACCCCCATTTACAAAAGCAATAGGTTTGACATAGTAAGAAAGATAGACCTCACAAGATGTGGTGCTTTCCTTTCTCTAGCAGGACAGTGACAGGGGCCCAGCCAGGCTCACTACTCCTGCACTACTGTTTTGCTCAAAAATATTTGAGGAGGTTTGAAGCATTTCTTTCTCATTCTACTCATCTGCCAGAATGCAGAGGATAGGTTCAGAACAATACCTCTGCTTTTCCTCCCACTGCGACTGATAAACCAGCTACTTCAGGAGGGTCCTGGACTACTGCAGTGCCACTGCTAAGCACCAAGTTCAGGTAGGGCATTTAAGTGTATTGAATTGGTTATTGTGTCCCAAAGAATAAGAGAGGGAAACAAAGGCACATCTCAAAGAGCCAGTGCAGTAAGTTCTTACCCATGGAGTATTCGCCTACAAGGTACTCCTTAACCTCTGACTTGCTGCTGCTGTGCACTGTTTCCAGGGCACTGAAGAGGGGTCTCCATCCTGACTGGATCTGGGTAGAACACATTTCCACCAACTCTCCTATAGAGGTGACCACCTGCAGACAGTGTAGGAGAAGTTAAAAGAATAAAACCTAAAATCAGAGCTGGTATGTAGATGGAGCTTCAGAGGAAAAAGGATCACTTTAAACACATTCCTACATTTCCCTAAAGTTAGTCTATACTAATATTTTTTTTTCCCCTGATAATAGAAAAGTTTTCTTTAATTGTTTTAAAGCTAGGTGTACTGTCTCTGTGATCTACCACAATGCTGGCTTAGGTAGGCAGAGACCTATTGATTCCTCGAAGATGATTATGAGGCACCATTTGAAGGGAATTTGGGAAACATTCTCAAGTGGACCAAGTGCACTCTGGAGACCATCCTTCTTACGGGCATGGTAGGACAGATACAGACATGCTGAACTGGGCTGACTTGCCTGGTCTTGGACATCCTCATCACACAGCTCCAGCTGCATTATACGCTCAAAGGGGCGGAAAAGTGCCTCATTAAAGTGAAAATGAGCAGGCTCATTCCAGTCCATCAGTACTTCAGTGAGGATGTCATGGATGAAGGAGACAGCCTTCCGAGACACATGTCTCTCCTTATGACAGGCAGCCTGCAGGGAAAGGAGGAGTATTAACAGTTTGACCAAGCAAAAAATTTGCTTTTAGTGAGACACATTTAAAGGAGCTAAGTACTTCATGTTGCTGAACCCTAAAAACAGCTTCACCACTAATGTGACTAGTGATCCCACGGCAATGAAACTGGGAGAGTACTGCCATGGAAACAGGTGATTGAGACTCTGAGCTGCTTGGAGTCCCACAGATGCATGAGGGCTTGCTGACAATTAAAAAAGAACAGAGCTAAAAGGGAAGAAAAAAAAAAATTAAAAAAAAACCCCACAGAACAGAACTCGTGTGAAGTGTCTTTTGTTTCTATTGTGTGACCATTTTTACCTTCAAAAAGGTAGTTTCTGCATATATTCTTTATTTTTTATATAGTCATTATTTTTTAAGCAACTATGCAGGTTATGCTGAATTCTGTCCTTTCCCTGTTTTGCTCCTTCCATGTAATGCCCTCATCTGTACTGAAGTCAACAAAAAAGACTTAACAGCCCTGCATTCTAAAATCATGGAAGGTACTTGAGTTTAAACTGCCTTGGGATCATAAAGACTTAGAAGTGCTGAAAACATGAAAAGTATTTAAAGTGGACTCAGGCTGGTATCCAAACAAAGTGAGACACTAAGTTTCAAGAGAAAAGGTTGTTAAAGCATGCAACAAAACTCTGCTATTCCACTAGAGACTCCCCAATGTCTGAACTCTACTGTAAGATAGTCCACACATTATTTTTTAGCCAAAGAAATGAGGTACTATGGCAATTTACTGAACAGCTCATCTCAAAACTCCAGAGAACCATGCTCCCAATAGACCTGGGCAGGTGACACCACACGTCTTGACAAAAGAAAGCAAGTACCGCACGTTTATTCGTACCAATGATACAAATCAAAAAGCTCTGAAAAGTCAGGACACCAGCATTTCACTAGATCAGAATGAAAGTTTGGCTGAGGAAAGGTCATTTGTTATGACTGAAACCCATTCAGTGGCTGCTACTGGCACGCTACTGACCAGGGTTCACAAAGAAGTAGAAGGAATTGGAAAAATGTCATCATCTTCCCAGCTGAGCTGGCTTTATGTGGGAAAAGAAAACCTTCATCCTGTTATGGGAAGACTTGTGAGGCTGCAGACTTTGACAGGGAAAATAAGCAGATGTAGGAGTTACTTGTAACCTCTTAGGGTAGTTCCAGTTTTTTCACCACAGACACACAGGAAGTATCCTATTGCAAAAATCCAACACACTTTCTCTGGACCTGCCCACTCCAGTTATCTGCAAGTGCACTCCTCAGTGGCAGTACCTCAATATATGACACAGTAGGTACAACACCCCAACGGGAGTGTAGCTAGATTTGATAAACATTTTAAGAGCTAGCAAGCTTTCTCCAGCATTTTCAGCTCTGCTGTCTCTTGCACACAGTCCCATTTTCTCCCCCACTCCTACCTCTACGAGGTGAGGTGCCACCAGGCTCCAGCAGCGCATGAGGTGGAGCAACGGCCGAGATTTACTCCTGACAATTCTGAGCATGGCGTCACCGAGCCGGAACAAGTGAAGGGCACTTCTCCTGTCCTGGGTAGATTTTACTTCACCTACAAGAAAATATAAGAAAATAAATGGAAGCTAAACAACAGTAGCTCCTCCATTTTTAGATACCTAAATTTTAATGTAAATCACATGAGAAATTACTAGTATTAACTAGGGAGGGTGAAGGTTGTGGACAAAAAAAAAAAAAATCAACGTAAAACAAAGCCTATATCTGTGTAGGTAAAAGAACAGGAGATGGACCCAAATTTTAAGAATAACTCATTAAACACACTTTAAGTGATTTTTTTAAAAAAAAAACATTTTAAAGACAAAGGCTTCAAGAAGTAGTGCAGAAAAATTAAGGAAGAAGTTAAATAATCAATATTAAGACCCAAAATAATAGTTGCAAAAACCTTTGGTGACATCTACAGGATGAACTATAAACTGCAAATTACTTCATTTTGGTTTGTCCTTTTGCATTTCTTATTAAGCAAAGAATGTGAGAAAATTATTTTCTGTTCCCCAGCCAGTAATACTTGTTATTTCCTACTGAAAGGGATTCATCTTTCATTGCTCTTCAAGCATTTAGAAAAACATTTCATTCATTTAAAATATGTTAGTGCTTTTATCTCTAATGAAAGATGTTATCAGGGAGCACACCACTTTTAATATATATATTTAAATTCAATTAGTTGCTCTATCCTAATTTCAATTTCATGACTACTAACTAGTGTTGATTGATTACTACATACATAAGTGGATCACTATTTATTAAAAAGAAGGTGGTGAATGTTGAGGCCTGGAGACAAGCAAGAGCAAAAAAAAAAAAAAATTAACAACTTAAAGTGTCACCTTGAGAAAATTAGAAGTAGTGCTTTAGGGAGAAGGGAAAGTGATTAAATTGGAGACATATACGAGATAAATCCATGTCTGCTGCAGGACAAAAAACCTGTATAAATAATGAAACTTCTAAAAGCACAGTACAAATTTAAGTTACATTATCTTCTTTTGGGTCCAGTCCTTCTGCTGTATTTGAGACAATAATGGAAATTACAATTTCCAGGCTTTGCACTGTAAGATATATGCTCTGTTCTGCTGGGGAAGAACAAGCAGGACAAATCCTATTGCTTTATTTAACATTCTTCAGTTGTGTGCTTTGTTTGCCTATCACCTTATCAGTTTGTTTTCCGAACACTTCTGAGGTTACCTCACTATCAAATGTCTAACCTAAATCCATGGTCTTAGGTCTATGTTCACCTGAGTTTCCCTACTGGATCAGACTACAAAACGGAGCTGTGATTAACTATCTGTGGATAACTAACACCTCCAAAGTTCAAGAAATAAATTAATGTCCTCTGAAGTGTTTCGCAGTAGATGTGGATGTGGTCCCGGACCAAAAGAAGTGCTCAATCTTTTCTGAAGATTTTGAATTGCTCCTATGGAAAGATCTTCTTAGACTAAATAAATACTGTGTTTTATTTATACTTTGCAATTTCATTTGGAAAAATTAAACCAGTAAGAATACAAAGTACATCCTGTAAGCAGTAGAGCTGTATACGGAACTCAGAGCTCTGTAAGGGATTTTGAGGTGATTTACCTGGCATTGCTAGGGAATAATCAACTGTGTCTGTGACTGAATGGAAAAGCTGGGCCTGAGAAGCCTTCTTGAGCTGGTAAAGGAAGCCTGCCAATGCCATCAAGTTTAACTTGTCAGCAGCATCTTCAAAGAGCCTGTGAGCAAAACAAGAGAATCTAACTGAAATATTAATGAGAAGCAGACTTAAATGAGGAAAGAAGAAAACTCTTATCTGCACATGGCTGCTCTGTGTTGCCTTTGGTTAAACATTGTGTTATTGAGGGCTTTTTCATTTATACAGTGCTACAGAAAGACTTTAATCCAGAAGCTTTATTAATTGGAGTGTGGAAAGTAGGGTGCCGTAGGACCAGCCAGAACCCTTTCAAGATCCAACTGTGGTACTAAACCAAGACACCACTTATTCAAGGAACCAACACTTCCCTATTATTGTGTCTTAATGCTGTAAACAGTTTATGAACCAGTAATCACAAAAACAGTGCGAATATGGCCAGTCCTCACAACAAAGATGTTCATAGCTGCACTGACTTTAGTTGCACCAGTTTGCTCCATCAGAAGTTACACCCCCTGAAGTTACATGAAAAATAAATGAATTCAAGTCTTAAAGTTGCTTTACTGAATTGCTATTTCAGGATATAAATAAAAGTTGTTATTTTCAGCAGCAATGAGGTCTTCAGATTTAAGAGTTAAAATCTGTACCCTTAAACCAGTAAACATGCTTACATAGGAGGTGGGTTCCACGGAGATTACAGTGGAATTTCACATGGTGCAGCCCCAAGTTGACACAAATTTGATTTTCTGACATTGCTTTTCATGAAAAAAATTCCATAGTCCTAGGAAGCTGGGGACTGAGTCCTAATAATCTCTGCTCTGAAGTAAAAGTACAGAAGTCAAACCTGCATAATTAAAATTACAGTAGTGATATTCTCTAATCCTGAGAATCAAGTTGTATTGTGAGCTTCCTAAATAAAAGGTACTTTCCATGTACAGAGTCAAATTCCTAAAAGCAGCATCAGTATGCACTACTTTTTCCTCTAAATTTACAAATAACACCCTCCTATGGCAGAGATCAAGGACGTAGAATGTCGGCTGAAGAAAAAAAGGTTATTAGAAGCATGAAAACCCAAGAAATTTTCAACTGTAGCCTGGGCTGCTAAAAGAATAGCAGAAATAGTGAAAAAATCTGCAACATATCAGCCTGCAGACTTTGTTGTAGAGACATTTAACCTAACAATCCTGTGACCATGCCTGGTGGCCCTTCCTCCTCCAGACACACTGGGGCAGGCTGACAAGGTGTCCACACTGTCCTGACAGAGGCAGCTGCTTTCTAAACAACACTGGTCTTGTCACTCAGTCCCTTCCTGTCAGGACAAGACACCTACTTATTTTGTCTGCTTTAATGAACACAGCAGATTAGTTTAGATGCGAGCAATAAATCTACCACCTTTCAGGATGCATTTGATTTTCTTGGCATATTTACTGTTGTGCACAGACATACTCAGCCCAGTACCTGCAGGGCAGGTAATGCAGAGATGCAGAAAAACAGGTCCTTTAGGGACTGCTGGTTGTGACGCACACACAGCTCTCTTATGAAACTCAACTGAAGCAAGTGGCTGCCATGGACACTGATCAGGTCCCATCGCACCACAAAAAGGTCCATTTTGGTCCTGTTTTGGGAACAAGGATTCTGGTCCCTGACAGCGCTGCTTTTACCTGTCAGCTTGCGTGGAGAGTGTCAGGACAGCCTTGGCAGCACTAGTCCCACACAGCAGGCTGCCTCCACGGAAGTCAAAAGCTCTGCCCTTACTGCTCTCCTTGATGAGTTCGTGGATAGAAATCGGCTGAATGACAGGATTGCTGCTGAGGGTGGTCTCCTGCTCAGGGGTCAGTGCCTGGGGAGACTCGCTAGGCTCAGAGTCTTGGTGCAGCCCTCCAGGTGCCTGCTGGGACTGGGTGATGGTAAGGGAGGGCTGGGAAGCACCGTCACTGAAGTGGGTGTGCTCCAGCGTGCTGATGTACTCACACACCCTGAGAACAAACAGGAGAAGCAAAAGATGAATAAAACCCCCAAAACAACAGTTCCTCCCCCCACTAGTTACCCGCCTCACTGAAGAAACATTTGGGGCTGTACTCCAGAGGTGAGTCAGAGGATAGTGCAAGTACAGCCCCATGTCCCCATGAGAAGCCAGCTCACACAGAAACCTGCTGCCTATTTGCAGGCACCAATTTCTATGTCAGAACCAGACAGGATGCATGGGACATTTTCCTCAAACCATAAACAGATGATCTCCAACTCTCAAACTACACAAAGACAACCTGCCTTCTTACATCCTTCAGCCTCACATGTGCCTGGATAGTAAATAGTGGAGGTGCCTGAAATGACCATTTAGATTCCTGGGTCTGCCCCAGTCTTCTGGTAACTTTTGAGTTTCTAGGCATTGATTTTGTCCTAATAGTGGTAGAAAGCTGCACTGTCTTTTCTCTTACAGATACTGGCTTTTATTTCAGTCTTACACTGTTTATATAGAACACTCTCAGAGCATGTCAAGTCCTTTTTCTCAGTTCATTACTATCAGGCACCTTGGTATAAATTCTGTTTCTTTTGGGAAAGCTGGTGAGTACCTGAACACATGAGGCCAGCAGTCCTGATTGTGACTTCCCATCTCCAAGCCCACATTAAGGACTGCATCCATACACAAAACATGAGCAGTGTGCAGGCAGACTCCCTGCACTTTCCCCATCTGCTCCAGTTTCTGCTCCACTTTCTGTTTCACTGCAGCATGAAAAATAAAATAAAATAAAATAAAATAAAGAAATTAGCTCCTCCAGCTTCTAAACAAACACTGGTTTGTAAATAGGGCAATGACAAAGGTATACAGTCTGAAAACTATGTAAGAATGTGGATTTTAGACAAAAAAAAAAATCATCAGAGGAACCCATATCTTCCTAATAAACATATGACAGTTTAAAAATTAAAATCCATGTTGATTTATCTTGTATGCAAGAAAAAAAAAATCCAAGCCAGACTGGCACCCTCCACCCCCAAAATTCACATCTTGCTGCCCACAGAACAGATGCATATTGTTCATGACATTATTACCTTTCTCTTTGTGCCTGGCTGGATGGATATTTATTTCTGTTTACCAAAATCTCCTTTTCTATGGAAAAGAGAGTTTGCAGATTTCACATCTATTTCCATACAAGTTTCACCAAGGAGCTTTTGTTAATGCATACTCTTGTCAAAGCAAAACTAATCCTGATCTGAGCTATAAGCCTTTGGACCTCATTCTTTTTTTCTGAGAATCTGTGAAAAGCTTAGTTTTCATGCTGCATTGGAATGGAAACAAATTTTGAAGCTTTGTAAGCTTTCATAGAACAGATCAGTTGGCCTCTGGCCACTGCTCCTGCCTTCTTTTTGCTTCAGCAGAGCCTGGCCCTCTCATTTCAGCCATATCTAACAGCATGGCCAAAAGCTAGTTTGGGCTCAGGCCTATTCAGTTTTGTTTTCTCTACTGAGACATCAAATTTGCCAAGCAGGGTCATTTGTGCAACACTGTGGGGTTTTGTGGGCTTCTTATCGTTACAAATGAGATGCATAAAAAGTGATGACATTTCTCCAAACAGCCACTGGAGACAGCAATTGTCTCTACTGACTTCTACAGGGTTTAAAGGAGTGGTATAGAAATGCAGAACCTTTTACATGTTATAAATATCTCATTTTTTTTTTTATTCCAGCTTTATTTAACATGATTCAGTTTTATGTATTTGGCGATGAAAAGACAATCAAGGATGTATACACAAGACAGGGAGAGGGATGCAAATTCAGCTTATATTACCACTAAACACATTAAAAAAAAGTTTCTCTGATGCCCTCTGGTTGTACTGGTATCACAAGGCTTAAAAAAAGCACATTTCAAAAAAGCTGTTGACTTATCTGTTGTTCCACTGATTTCAGTTCCATATAAATGATAATTAGTATGACATAATGTTAAGAACCTAGGACAGCAGAACATGTGCTAAAGCCTCTAGACATACATCCCACATGCCTCCAAGTGAGCTGTGCACAGTAATGGCATTCCACTCTGTCCTCTTATGTGTAGCAAAGTACTTTGCAGTTGCATCTTTGTGGGCAATGTGAGAGAATGCAGGTAATTTAATCACATAGTTACCTTGAGCTATAGTATCACTGGGCTCTTGGATTTCTTTTTCCTCTTTCTCTTCTTGGACACAGGAGGCAGCAGCCATTTGGGCAAGAGCAGATGCACAGTTAGCAGCAACTCCTGTAAAGCAACGACACAATTACTGTTCAACCAGCATTTCCTCCCCGAGTCCCATGCAATCTCAACAACAGGTTGTGTCAAGGAGAGCTGGCTGGATATGTTTATGCTGTAGGGCAGGTGCACTCCATGGGGACTCCTAGAGCCGAGTTTCCTACCCAAGACTGGAACAGGATGTTGTTTTTCTCTCTCCAGAATTCCTTCAAGGAAAGTTAGCATCCTATTTTAAGAGTCTGGCATGACATCCCACATGCAGCAGTACCTAGAGCACAGCTCAGCCGGGCTGCTCTCCTCAGTCCGTCCAAGCTCACGCAGATGGAGTCCTTTTCCTTTTGGTTCTGCTCTTTGGCTCCTTCTGCTCCCAAGATGAAGGCCAGCCCCTTGGAGCTGCCTGCCATGCGGCCAGTCAGTGGTGTGGACAAAGTGTCAATCAAGTTCTTCCAACAGCCGATTAAAAGGTATCGGGCAAAAGCAACTCCTGGAGTGAGAAATGCATTACTACTACTGGAGAATGACAAAAACCCAGCAGCTTTATAATCAGTGGTAAAAAATCAAGTCATATTTCTCCTCTGCATACTGGACTACCAATTCATGTGTAGGATGTACTGACATACCTCCCTCAACCCTTAAATTGTTGTTCTAAAATACAGTTTATCTGAACATGCTTATAGTATATACACTTGTGCTTATAATACAGTCTTAATACCTGCAACAAGAGAATCGTCTGTCTTCCGGTTTTGGGAAAGAGGAGATTGAGCTGAAGCAGATGCCATCAATTGGCCACCAATTGCACTGCTTCCCAAGCCATCAATGTCTGCCAGAACATTAAAAAACAACAGATTACTATTTGACACACAGACAGTATAAGGAAAGCATCTCCTGCAGGCTCCTTTTTCAAGAAGCAGAAATCACTTCTGATTTCTCAGGTGTGCTTTTTAGTTGCTCTTTTCTGGCAGCCTTCTGAAGCTTTGGCATAAATGTAAGCTCTGGTACTGTATGCATTTCCAAGTATAACCAGCATTTTCTTGAAGAGAAGAAATATCCCACTCTCAAGAGTACCTCCCTTCCCCTGAAGTCACACAGTCAACAGAATTCTCAGCAAAGATCTCATGCTATTTCTTACAGTTCAAAACTTCCCACACCCTTAAATCCCCTCATTTCTTAGTATAACTTTTCAAATCTTGTTAAATCCTATGTCTAAATGTTCCCAGACTTCAGTCTGAGTTCTCAGGATGCACTGGGATCCTATGCCCTAGATGCAATTTTCAGTAGACCTATGTAGGTTCAGTCTCAACAAAAGAAATACAGCCCTTTCTCCAACACAACAAAAGACTAGCTTCTCATAAAGAGTTTAATATTAGGGATATCAGCTTGATTTCCTTTCTAGCAGTCCCTACCTGTCTGCATCTTTTCCACATACTTCATGGTTATTTTTTTCCCCTGAAGTGTTACTTTCAGCTTTCCAGCTCAACAGCTAGAAGCAAGACTGAACTCAATACAGTCAGCAAAAACCTTTCAGAGCAGTACTCTTTGATTACCATCTAATGGCTCAGCTGAAGACAGTGTTCTCCCTACATACACTGTTTTAAGTATCCCCAAAAAACATACAGTATACACATTCAAGCAGACAGCACATTTTATATCAATACAATATCATGGATAGTCAGCTGCCTCTCAGCTGATAAAATTTGTTTTTTTGCCTTAAATGAAGCTAAGGATTGTTTTTAAGCATTTGTTAGAGGTGCTCCAGGTTTTCAGTTTTTCCTCTAGTGCCATTTGGCATATCCCTGGCATAGCACAAATCTAAACCAAGGGGAGCCAAATCTGGGGAAGATTTCCAGGATCAGACTATTTATATTTGTCCTGCACCACAGGCACAGTGAAATGGCTTTGCTATGACATCAGGAAAACAGCAGCCTTATAGCTTATCATTAACAGATACCAAGTCTACTGGAACTGAAGCTGACAGAATTAAGAGATGTTTTGGTTCAGTGAAGAAACTTGCTCTGTCTCCCAGGGGAAGTTTTAAAATCCATGCTTCAAAAGCTTTCTGTCTGATCCAAACCAAACAGTTAAGCTCCTGTCACAGTTAGAGTCTGACTCCACCTCTAGCAGTAATTTCATGAAACACCCCACGTTGCATGATGAGATGCTGTTCTGTATGTAATGCAACGAAGCAGCTTATTATTGTAGCTTGCTGTAGACATGTGTTCGGAAGTTAGCCTTGCCACCATAACATCGTACTGACCGGTCAGCATGGTGATAAGTGGAAGGCTGTGCTCTTCAGGGCTTCCCCAGTATCCAGCTTCTCCCAGCATGTTTCTTTCTAGTACCTGGTGGTATAGTTCTTCAACCCAGTCCTGGGAAAATACCATCAACACTCCACTGGACTGGACCTGCTTCATGAAGTCCTTCTGCAGAGAACCATAAATAACAGACGTAAGACAACAGCAAGTCCTACACCATGACCCTCAGCCCCTAGATCTACTCCTGAGAGTAAGGGAATGCAGGAGTGTAAACGAATTTGAGCAAAAATAAGAATTAACCAAAGATTGTGACGTGACTCTATAGTGGAGAATGACATGAACACAGAGCTTTCCCTTCTCTTACTGCTGTCAATACAAGATGCAAACCATGACAATTCTTGCACAGTGACAATAGGACATGTTGATCTCTCACTATTTCCACAAGGTAGGAGTTGGATCTCGATTCCAATAAAAAGAGGGTTTGGTACCTAATGCTTCTTGTCCAGCAATCAGGCCCTTCTGCATTGGAGAGTCACCACAGATGAACAGGGGTACAGCTAGATATCTGAGCAACTTTCAATAATAATTTAGATCATGCTCAGGCCTGTTGTGTACAGTGCTGCTCCTAGAGAAGATTCTGAGTCACAGATTTGCTCTCACAGTTGCTGAGGAACATACCAGAACTGATGATGATGATGTTAAAACCCAATTGTTTTGGAGGTAATCTAGCATACAAATTCTCTTACATGGGAAGCTCAGCAATAATGGTAGATTTTACAGAAGTCTTTTTTTTTTTCTTTTTTTCCCCCTCCCCAATATATCATTGATTGCTTTTTTAGTAAAACTCTGAAATCACTTCTCTTGGGCAACTTAGCTGCAAAACATAGATTCATGTTTTACAACTCCTGCAGCCTTCAAAACAATTTTTATAGAGCCCAAGCTGAGGAATCCCAGGCGCCACAAAGATCATCAGTTCATATTACTAAACCCTCATTATTTTTCACTCACTTCTCATGTCTTCATCTGCATAAATACAAATGAAATGCTAAGCAAAAAATTTGTCATTGTGCTCAAAGGTAGTTGCAAGATGAAGTTATACCCCTTGACAGGGCACAAACAATACTTGCTGTATCACATGATGCTGATGAAGATCTCTTCTGAAGATAGAGTATCCATCAAAATGACTGCTACTTTAATGATAACCAGTAAGCAGCATTCATCCTCCCTCAAATTACAGAGAAGCTGTGTAATTCAGATGCATGACATTTATCATGCAAGATTCATAAGCAGCTTGGAGAACGCTTCATTTGCAATTATTATTTCTCCACTTAGCAAGCAGCCTGAAGGCTTTATGTGTGGGCTGTTTTATGTGAAAAGAAGCAAAACAAATTTTCTGGTTTTAACATTTTTCCCATATTCCCCAACTCACCAGCAACACAGGGGCCTGGGCAGGCTTCTTCCTGTAATAATCGGAGTTGGCCAATTTTAGGTTGAGCAGCAGAATGTAATGGGAGACCATGTAGAGACTGTCTGCATTCATCAGAGTCTGGAAGCTGAAATTTAGGTTTCCCTCAAATCCTGGTGAGTGCATCATACCTAACAAAAACATCATGTGAGCTCTCACAATTTACACAGATTTTGCCTGGAAGCTGAAATACCAGAAACTAATCCTAGCATTTCAGCAGCAACAGATTGCTAGAATATTTAATGATTCATCAGCAGAAATTACTAAATGTACTATAAAAGGGGATAGACCAAAAAAGTAGTCCATCTAGAATGCAGTGCTGCAAGGCAAACTGAACACTCCAGTCACAGTCCAGCAAAGTGACATGCTAAAGTTGAAATACATGAGGAGCAGCAGCATTCCTTGGGATGACTGCCAGGTACAAAGCAAAGGGCAGGAGACATCTGCAATGCTAACTTAAAAGGTGAGGTGGGAAGGGGCAGAGGCAAAGCCTCTGTACTTCAGTGAGTGTACGTTGCATCAAATGGTGCTAATGAGGGGGACAGTTCTTCTAACCCCCCTAGTAAATCTGTCCTGGCTAGGTGAGTTGTTGGATGATGACAGGAGTGCTCAGCACCTTGCAGGATCAGGTTGTAATCATCACTGTCTCCATGGCCTAGAGGTATGTGGACAAATATTTGGGGCCAAGATGGCTGGAACCTGTTACAACTCCAAACCCTGTTTAGTCCATACAAGACCCGCTTTCTGTACAGCTGAGCATTTGCAGCTGTCAGACTCATAAGCCATCTTTAAGTGCTCAGGACTCCTGAAAACACCATTTGTATGAAACGACAGCCTACAAGCATGCACAGTGGCACAATCCCTTCTTCCCAGGTAGGATGGCTAGCACATACATTTTCCTCTGAGTTAGCTGACCTACTGGTAGAAAAACGTAATCAAGTATGATCGACAACTAACTAAATCCCCATGATCTTTTATTTGAGCCACGAAAAACACAGAAATATTAGACCCTCCCACATGGCCCACAATATTTAATGGTTATCACATCAACTGTGAGAATTCATATCATGTCAATAAGGAAAGATTAAGGAGTAAGCTTTATCCTAGAATAATGTTTGAAGTCAAAAAAACAAACAAAAAAGCTTCCAAGTTTAGTAACATGATGAAGCAAAGCTGTGTCATTTGTTAACTGCTGCAGTGGTTTACTGTGAATATACTTCTCTCACCATAAAGTTCATACATCTTCTTAGACAAAAAACAACAAACCATTTACATTAAAAAAAAAGAAAAAAATCCACACACACAAAAGAAGCAAATGTTTTTCTTGCCTCGTGAGGGTTTGAAAGCTCTGTGCTGCTGCCTTCTTGTACTTTCCACTGTCGTCACTTTGGGGGCATGGATAAGGTGAGTAACTGTTTGAGGGTGGATTTAGAAAGAGAGTAACTGTTCCAGGGTGGGTCTAAAAAATGAATACCTGTTCAAGGCAGCAACCTTTGTGGAAGAGGGGTGATAGGGCTGGCCCCAAATCATACCCACATGGTTGGCATGTACTTTGGGTAGATTCCATGTGGAGAATCTTTACCTAGTACCAAAACTGCAACCATATGCTTGAAAGTAGCCTGGGAGGAGCTTAGACTCCTTCACTAAAGGTCAAGATGCATCTTAACACTTTGTTGGATGGAGGATCATGATATTGATGTAGCTAGAATATATTAATTTGATGCCTTATCTCTCATCAATATGTACCTTGGGAACTAGAATCGGCTAAAGTAATAAAAACCTCAAGGCAGAAAGGTATGTTAAAAAAGAGCCCACTTTATTTTGCATTAAATTATTTTTAAAATTGTGCAACCTCCTATATAAGACTACAATTAAAAAGAAAGGTGTGTAACTGCACGTAAAAGTGGCTACTACATAGTGGGTATGTATTTGAGCACCCAAAAGTGTTTGGGAAAAAGATGGTCCCTAATTTCCTCTAAAATATGGGAAAATAACTCCATTTGAGAGGCGCTGAGACCCCAAAAGCAAAAGATTATGCGTAAACTTGCAGTGATGTTGACCAACATAAAAACCTTGTAGCTAAAAGCTATGGAATCAAAACTCAAAAACTGGTGGTAAAAATGTTTGCTATGATTTTTCACACTGTGGCACACAATCTTTAGAATGAAAGCCTTGACGCTGCAGATAAGAACAGTTATTATGTCTGAATTAAGAGAGTACCGACCACCAATTTTAATTATAAAAGCCTGCTTTTGTAATTAAAAAGCTACAATAAACTATGATGATAGCACACCGTCATAACAGAGAAAACAGCTCATTTAAATGTGCCATATAAAAAAGGAGGTCCCAAAAAAATGCAAACTTAATGTTTTGTACAAGTCAAGATAATGTTGAGAATTTTTAGATAATTCAGTATTTTTTAAGGTAGACATCACACTCCAGTCTCACTAAGGAATTTTTTGGCATTGGTTTTATCTAGCAACAACGAAGAACTTTCTGAGGAAAGATGAAAACCACAGATAGGAAGGCTTTTAACAAACTGAATTCCAAATCTTAGTTTCACTATAACTCTGCTTGGTTGACTTCACTTTTTCCATGCTTATGCGTCCATGCCGGTGCCTCAGATTCCTACCTCCTTTCATTGCTTTTCAATAGTATGAAATCATAAGAATTGTACAGTATTATTTAAGGACCTAGCTTGTAGGAAAGACTACTAAATTGTAGCTAGTGTATTTTTTTTCCCCTAAGCATAAGAAAAATTGAAAAATGAAATGAAGTAGTTAAACAAGGTCTCTCAGAAACACAAAAATACTGCTTTTGTACTGGCTGGTCTCAAAACTACACCTATCTCTTTTCTCAACTTGAATCTTAACCAATATTCAAATTTCCTAATGTATTCTTCAGGACTTATACACTAATATATATATATAGTACATATAATGAATCATACCAGCTCCTCTAACTTTACCAGCTAATTTGTGCCTTGAATTGCTGGTGCTAAAGAAGGAGTCCTGAAGCAAGGACTCAAACATTGCCCATAGAGGTAGACCAGACTGATGTCTTGGAAGCTCTCCAAGGGAAGTTCCTATACCAGTCACGTGTTTCAACTTCAGTAACTGTTCTTCATACAGTTCCAGGTCTTCATACTCAGGCCTCTCTCACCTACACAGGAACACAAGTCCTCACCTCAGGAGGTCTCATGGACTTTTGCTTAAGATCTGAGGTACAAGTTAAGGCAGTGTTTCACCTGGCCCGAGTCTTCATTCCAGGTGTCCAGATGAAACATGAACTGCACACATATTGTGACACCATAAAATTACAACTCTGTAACGGCCACAGCCCTATGAAAAAAACAAGATACCTCTTCCAAGCTATTTTAATACAGTAAATTGCTACTATATTTTTCCATGATTCCTTACTGAGTAGCATCTTTTAAAAAAATTTCACCAAATCAGACACAGTGTACACATTTTTAAGTACAGATTTAACCATGGGGGTGGCTTTCTTAGGAAAGTGAAAGGTCTTTCTCAACGCAGCAGTCTAAGTCCCAGTCTAGGTATCTTTTCAAGAGACAGGTACAAAACAGAAATTATGGACTTAATGCAGAAATTGAGTGGTATAAAACATTTAAAGGGATCTGACAGACAAAAGAGAGAAGACACAGTATACTTGTTCATGCATGAGGGAACTGGTGCACAAAAGTTTGGGCTAGAGTTCTAGACCTGATCTTTTGGCATAACCTCAATATCACTCTTTTTCAGGAAAAGGAAATCCCTTGTGACAAAAAAGGATGTTTTTGAGCATCTCAATTAGGAATGTAATTAATACGAGTGTCCCCTTTCAGGTATCTTCTTTTTGTGACATAACATGGCCCATGTTTAACAATGTAAGCTATTATATTCCTGAATTCAGTCTTATTTGGGCAGCATTTAAACAGGAGATCAGGAATATCACCTTATTCATCCAGCTTCATATCTAAATTGTGCTGTATGACAATGGGAGGCATCCCTTCTGACTCTGTATGAGTTCATGTGTGCGTGAGAGCACAAATGAATGAATCAGTGATTAGGAAAGGAGCAATAAGAAAGGCAATTGTGGTGAATTAAGTTAAGGAAACAGAGGGATGTATTTTAACAAACATTTCCACTTTGGCCACTGTCAGGAAAAAAAAAACCTTCTAAAAAAAATATATATTTATATACGTTTTAAGTACGCTATCAATAGGACAAACTAGTCTTTGCATGGCATTTTTTTGTTTGACCAAGTCATGATTCCAAAGGTTCTAACCCTGAAAGAACTGCAGGTATTTAATCTCTTGAAAGGCAAGATCTTTACCTATTTCTCATTTGGTGAAGCTTTGAGCTTTGCTTTTCCTGTCGTAACAGAACATTAAGCAGTAGTAAGAAAAACTAGAGTGAAGAAGAATGGAGTTGCTCCTCTTTTCTTATCCTTCAAGAACTTACTGCTGTGGAATTTTTATTACCTTCTTGGCAAGGCTGGCACCTCTACTAGCAATGCAGTGATACACTAAGCTGCTTAAATCTGTTTCAAAAGAGGTGATGATTCTCCCCACACCCCTTTCATGCTAAGGGGCAACCCCAACCTCTCTTTAATGACAGCATGTGCAGAACTTCTCAACAGACCTTCACAAACCTGTGAAGAGAGATCCTACAGAAATGCTGATTTCTCTGTTGACTGAGGACACAATCCAGATCCTGTTAAGAGCCAATGGACTGACCTCCCTTTGAGGCAGTGACTGCATATTTAATTTGCTTTGCCCTAAGTGGAGTGTGCTGCTGTTAAGGAATATGATTTGTAAAGCACAAATCTCCTCATTCTGGATATGTTCTCTGAAGATGAAATCCTACAAGAGAATTTGCATACAGTGCTGTCACAGTGTGCATGCTGGTTCGACAGTAAATATTTGCTTGCAAACCTGAGCAGAATGTTGAAGAGAAGTTCTGTAGTGCTCCATCGACCTCCTCTATGCTGGGAAGAGCTATAAGCCGAGGAAGAAGGGCCTCAAGTGACTGGATAAACAGCCGTGCACTGTGCTGGTCTGCTTCTTGGTTTTTCAGCAATTTCAGAGAGAGAGCAGCAGTACGTAAGGACCTGTGACCTGGACAATCCCGTGGTGTCTGCTCCTCATCAGCCAGGGAGCAATTGTCAGAGCCTATGTCTGAGACATCTGACCTGCCTGAGTCCTTCTCTGCTGCCATGGAATACTGATCGCAGGAATCAAACTCAGTCCTGGAAAGGTCCTGGTCATCTACACTGAAGTTACTTTCACTGTATCTGGATCCATAGGACCGGGTCTTGCAATCAACTGATAAGAAGTTAGTTATATCTGGGTACACTATGGTGTGGATTCTCTGAACAACATCTGGCTGGTCAATGGTTTCTGACTCCGGTTCTCTATAATGAATCTCTTTGCTTTCATGCCCAGCTGGAGAGGGCAGTGAGTTTTTTTGAATTTCTGGGTTATCCTCTGGAGTTGTCTGTCCCATTTCCCCTTCCAAAGTGGTCTGACCAGTGTCTGTGGTAACACTAATGCTAATGTCAGGACTTTTCTCATTTCCTGACTCCCAGGCTGGGTTTTCTGAGGACAGGATGCGCCTCTGCCACCTGAAGTCAGCATCGTTGATCTCCATGGAGTCCCGGCTCGTCTCGGTCCCATCCTTCAAATCTTCTAGGCGCTGGAGCAACAGCTGGATCTGCTCTTCACTAAGACCTCTCCCTTGGCTCAGCTCATCTAATGCCCCGAGCAGGGCAAAGACACAGGACACTGAAGCATAACACGCTTCAATACCACCTTTGATGCATGCTTCTGTCATCCCATCCATGATTCTACAATTTAAACAGAGTTTATTTAAGTGAAACAGCACATAGTGAGCACATGTCACTGTCATCCTACACTATCCATCCATAACTTGGAAAAAAAATAGTTAAATTATCCTCTAAGACTATGCCTGAGAAAGACAACTCGTATTAGATCAAATTATTAGTCTCCTGTGTAGCCATTCTGTAAAGGGCGTGCCAAGCAGGGAAATAGTTACCATGCATTTTTACCCTTACAGACAAGCACTTACACTGAAAATAAACCTCAATAACCAACTGGAGCAAAATTTAAAGCCATCTGTATCTTGAAATTTATCTTGTCTGCAAGATACGACCTTTGCAGGAACTGAGATTCCTTCTTGTTCAATATGACAATGTTTAAATTTTTTATCTCCTTGGACTTCATCTTGGAAATCCACCTCTAGATAAGCACATGCTTATATCATTTTAAGTGACTCAAACCGAAGGATTTCCAGCTGTAAACCAATGTATCTGGGCATTTTGGTAAACTCCACAAGGTAGTTACCTATGCCTTCAAAACAGGCCCAGACTGACAACAAACCAGCAAGACCTTTTACGCCTCTTCCATTTTCACAGTTTATTTAACCAGGGACACTCTGGCTCATATTTAGGTATCCTTCTGAAGGTACAACTGTTTAAGTGTCCTCTGCACCCAGGTTTAAGAGAGAAGAGGCTAAAGGAGGAAACAAAGCATACAGTTTGAGAAGATCCAGATGGGACTTCCTTTTAGAAATAGACCTCTTCCTGGATTCTGACTCAGAAGAGCAGGGCCCTGCCAAATCACAAAGCCGCTGAGGACTGCCAAGTATCTGAAAGGAAAAAAAAAAAAGAAGTTACTAGAGGATTATGTAAGGATTATTTAAATACAATAAATGAGTCATAGTTCTATCAAGCCCTGGAAACCAAGGTAGCAGTACTATAATTTCTCACAGCAAAGGAAACCAGCACACTGATGTCCTACTTACTGAAGCTACCTTTCCTCTCTTAAAGGCAGAAAAGAAGGTGAAGAAGAGCAGAATATTCAACAAGAATCACATATAGAATGTTGTCCAATACTTTCAAGTTTTGTCCGAATGTGATTTAACTGATACTGCACATAAGACAATCTTTACATCCAAATACAGAGCAAGTATCTTGCATTATGGTATATACCATAGGGAACCTTTCTCGCCAGTCACCCAGTTACAAAATGGTAAAGTCAAGCAAAGACAGGCAAAGTGATTCTTTCTGACTCAACCTGCTGGGTGGCATCCTGTCAATCCCCACCAGGAAATGCAAGGAGAAGACTTTACACACAAGCCCATATTAATAAGCAGAGAAAGGCAACAGACACATCCTGCAGGAAATAATATTAGACTGAGCTTTTCCCAAAATCAAATCCATTTATCATCTTCCTATTGCTTAATATTAGAGGAAGATAAGCGCCAGGGTGGCTGCCAATTTAGACAGTGACCCAGTGGGTGGCTGTGTGGTGTTAGGAGAGACCTTCAGACACAGAACAGCCTAGGTATGCACAACCTTACAACTGAAATCCTCTAAAAGAGACCACTGCTCCTGAAAATTATTTAAGTTGCCTTGTGTCCCACAACACAACAAGAAGGCTGCACACATGAAATGGAAGAGCCCATGATTTCAGCTGCTGCTCAAATTTGTCTCACAATACTCCAGTTCTGTCAGAGTTACTCGGCAAGAAGCCAGAATGGCCTGGTCTTGACATGGCTGTCTAAAGACATTGGCAGCTTCCTTGTAGCTATTCTAATAAAGCTCAAGGAAACTGTATTTCAAAAACCTGGCATGTAATCAAAGCATATATTCACTTTAATGCCTAGAATGCTGTACTGTGAGGATAAATGTCTCCTTCTAGCAAGAGAGGAGAGTGGGAAAAGAGGACAAAGAAGTTGAGAACTGGATCACTATACTGTATCTCACACAACAGAGCAGTCATGACTCAGTGATACAATCTGGTCCATGCAGTGCCACAGCATGAACACTGATGAAGTTGCCATAGCAGCTTGCATAATGGAGACAAATATAGCTATTATGACTGTGTAAAACTAAAAATATTTGTCAGAGTGGTTTGATGTAACAGTTGCACTCAGAAAGGGCAATTCCAGCATCCCTAGTGCTAAGGTATGGAATGGACCGGTACGCGCCTATCAGCAGCATTCACTGTTAAATAAACATTTTGCTTTAAATGCCTGGATTTGCACGTGTCATCCTACCTCTTTCATAATTTTGATAGCTTCTACTCGGTGCTGAGGTGGTGGGTAAAGCAATATCCGGTGATAGAGAGACTGCAGCACAGGCTTCATGGATTCCACTGACCCCACCAGTCGAACCAGTTCTGCTGCAATATAATATATGGTCCGTGCAACGGGCCCACTAAGTGCAGGTGCTGTGGAGGAACAACCTGAACCCCGGCCATGATCAGAGATCCCTGAGGAAGGTGAATCAGCCTCAAGACAGATGCTGCTGTGGGCAGAGGTGATAGTTTTGTCATGGATTGGATTTCCCAGGATTACTACTAGTGCTGGACACAGTTGCTTCCTGAGAAAGAGAAGAGCAGCAGATGGTAACTGGAAAATAATCTCACAGGAACATATTGAAAATAGCCCATGGTTAAATGAGATACACATGCTTCTTTTAATGATCAGCCAACAGCAGCAGTTAGAATTACACCAGGCTTTTTTCATCTCCCAAGCATCAGTGTGCTAGTACAGACAGAAATACTTTAGGGTGCTTTATAAACATGGTATTGATTTTACAAGTTCATGTTACTGCACAGTGCTGTCCTTTACAGGATAGCAAGCCTGCCTCTTTCTTTGGCTGCAACTGACTGCTAGGTGGAAATTCTAGGTTTCTACTGCTAACTGTTTCTTCTTCAGTCCAACCTGGGAACTTTTAAAAAAAAAACTGACCAAACAAATTACAATCTATGTTAATTAGAAGGCCTGATGTTTCACCACTGAACTCTGCATGCATGTATTTTAGTAAGCACCTTTAGTTGTGAGCCTCTGTTGTGCTGGCTTTTGAGAACATAATTAAAGCCCTCTACAGTAACTCAACGTGTGCATTGTAACTTCTCATACACCACTATACACTAAAAATGCCATCCTTCCTTCAACACTGTATGAACACTCAAGTTAAAGGATTCTACACGAGCAGATCAATCCTCTGGAACCAGAGTCAAAACCAGCTCAGCACTTTGCTCTCTTCATTGTTATTTCAGCTTTGCAGTCACACACTTGACATCTTACTTCAGTCTGCAAGACACTAATTTAAAAAGCCAAGTGCTGCGTAAGAAGGCAGTCCCAAACCTGATTTTCAACCTCATGCCTCAAAGGTTCAAGATAGTGCCTAGAGGAAGCACCCAAAGACCAGTAATGATTCAGCATAAAAAACCAACATGTCCTCAGTTAAGTACATTTTATTTTATCAAGATTTTTATGCAGTCTAGAACTTCCATTGCTTCTCTTAATGTGCTTGCTAAAACATCTTTTCTTCCTGAAGTTACAGAAAGAAAAAGAGCTTTTAATCAGACATCATATAGTGACTTTGAGTCTGCTTATTCCATTTCTTTACCCAATCACACTTCAAAACATATCGTAGGTGAAGTCATGGGCTGTGACAGCAACATATTCCCCACACATCTTAGTCCCAAAGTGCTTGTGTATCAAACTATGGAGAATACTGTCAGAAGAACAGAGACCTAAATCTTCTCTGCTTGCTCCCTTTGTCTCCTGTTTAGAACTGACTACCAAGTGCCAGGCAGAGAGAAAGTTGAGTCTGCATAGGCAACAGCTCCTCGAAGAACACAGCTATCAGTTTGGTTCACTTCATTAGTCAGCTAATGGATTAGTGAGCACTTATGCTGCTACACATTCAGAAGGATGCTTGCAGGTTAAACTGTTTTCCTAGGGTTTTCTCTCCCCTCTTCATCTTAAGCATGTAGCAGGAGGGTACATACTTTTTGGTAGTAATGCAGGTTAAGTCGTCCTGCCCCTTATGGGTTGTCCTCATGAACCACAGTTACAAATACAAAAACCTGTAGATTTACAGCATAAACTGGATCATCAAAATGATGTAAATTGAAAATAAAACAGGAGGCATTTTCTCTTAATGGAGATGATTACAGTGACCTTGTTCATAAGACAGCCCCACAATCAGTCACATAAGTATAAACAAAGTGTTGGGTGAAATTCAAAGGCAGAAACTTCTGAAACTAGTTTGCCATGAAAGAGAGAATTCTGCTTTTACATTAGAGCTCCCAGCACAGAGGCCCTGTGCAACACTGCCAAGTGTTATCCACCTGAAGACTTCCCAATCCAGCAGCAGCTGATTCTCCTGGGACAGCAAGGGAAGTTATGGGTGCCTCTACATGGTACATCCTTAGAGCTGGGTCCAGGTCAAACATTTAGATTTCAAAAATTACAAGGTAAAAGCACAAGAAACACATTTGTCATTAACAGTCACATAGACCTTTTCTTTACACAATCACCCGCCAAGGTCACAGGATGGGCATGGACTGCAAGGAACTGTATATTAGCTACATTCTTGCTTTATTTCTATGACTCAGTTATCCATATGGTATAAATAAAGCATTATTGTAAACAAAAAGAAGGGAAAGGATTATTTCAGGAGCTCCGAGGTGACAGTATCAAACAATTTATAGGTACATATGAACAGTAAAGATGTCAAGCCTTTCAGGTGAAGTGTACTGAAAAGAGAATTTCTTGATAAAGTGGAAGCACCGTAAAGACAATTTAGTCTCATCTCTTATACAATCCAGGTCATAAGTATTTCTGGTCACCAGCACACCATCTGACATCAGCTTTGCTTATATTCCTGTAAGAATCTCTACAGCAGCCTCCTACAGTGAGCAGGATATCTGTCTGTTTAGTGCCACACATGAATCTGAACTTTTGCAGAGATTTTCTGTCCTGGCTAAATACATTAGATTTCATTACAGTGATAATTCTCTTCAGGGATTTAATGTGCTAGCTGAGCATGAGGTCCTAACCAATCTTATATGAGGCACAGAATGAACTGATGGTAGGTTAACTGCAAGCTTTGCTCACATCTAGAGATTTATTACAGTTTTGCTTGCATGGCTAGAGGGAGAAGGTCCTTTTCTACTTAAAAACTAAATATTTGCATTAGTCTTCAGATGAACTCACCATATGAGATCAGTGAATCCTTTGTGCTGGTGCATGCTGGGAGAGGAGCTGTTCAACATGGAGAGGATGCACTCCAAGTAAAGAAGCTGAAGTTGACGATTGTCACTGGCAAAGAGAAAAGATGTCATTCGTGTCACAATAGCACAAAGACTATTTAATTTTCTAAAATAACTACATTAGTTCACTTGAAAATTATATCATAATTTACAGTAGTCATTTATTTTCCATCTTCCTATGGATTTACAATGGTGTGATTACCTTTATCATCCCATTTATTTTGTACTGATCACATGCAATGTACTAATAAAAAAAAAAAAGAAAACCAACTATGCGCAAAAAGAGGAAGAAGAAAGCAGAAGCGACTATTCAAATTCAATCTAAAAACTTGAGGAGGAAGGAACCCTTAAAAAGAAGAAAAGGAGAAGATTTTGGACTATTGGATAATTTCTTCAGGCAATCTGAAGGGCATTTAGGTCGCTCTCGTTCTGTTTATTTTTTCTCTTTTCTTGGCAACAGACACAAGGGTAAAATGTCAGTGTCTACAGGCAGAAATTCGCATGGTAACAGGGTTACCACCTTCCAGGGCCTTGTCAGTTACTCTGTTAAAAACATAGACACAAAGTGAGCTTCCTGAGAAAGGACATGAAAGGTCCCGTGGACACCTGGAACTGATACACTTGGAACATACAGTGTGCTTGTTCCTACTCTCAGAAGTAGCTGTGGGATTCAGGAGACAGCAAGGCTGAGGTCTGCTTCACAAAAGAAGCCCCCCATGCCAATTGCACTGCCGCTCCGGTGGTCACTCCTACAAAGACTAGGATATAGTAATTCTTTTGTGGTCCGAGATGAAAGCTAGAGGATTTTATTTTCTAATATATAATGGTAGGTAAAGGAAGCTGTAAAGAATGTATTTATCTTAACTGAAATTAAGGAATGAGAAATGTCTGCTCTTCTCTTACTGCCTGAATTCCTTTTGTTCACACAGATGAATTTCCATCCAAGTAGAACAGCACTTGTTTCACATGTCATGCAGAATCTGAGTGAATCCTGAGGCTTGAAGCTAGGTTTCTAACTCTGCTCTATGGAAGATATAAAACTGCTGGGTGGTTATATATTTCAGAGGTTAGAGCCTTTTCCTCACCACAGTCCACACCTGCCTGGAAAGACGCACACATTCCAGGTACAATTGCCTTCTCTCCCAGCAACTTTTCTTACAATCTCTCTTAATGCAGATCATCAACATTTTGCAGCTGACACTTCCATGGGCATGCACAGGGCATCCCTGCACTCTTGATTGCTCTGATGTCTCTTACTACCAAATTGGGTTTTTGCAGGTAAAAAATGACTGTTGCACTCCTGTACACCTAGGTACAGCTGGTGTGCTTGTAGCACTGTTGCCACAGATTTCAGAGTCACCAAATTCAGTAGTACCAAGAAAAAACACCTCTCTGAACTCTTCGTTGTCACTCATAGCTGTGCCTCCCTCAATACCAAATTCTAATAAGCTTGAAATTTAGGAGGAGGCATTAAAGCAATCTTCAGAGTAAGAAATTAGAATAGGCAATAGAGCATACTAAAACCTCACTTCACTGACTTTGAGGTTAGAAAGTTAAGTTGCCACCAACAAATTGTTTTGAAGGAGATACCAAAATTTGCCTTGAAAAAAATAAAGGCTTTTCATTCATGGAGTTCTTTCTTTATCATTAGAATGTCTTGTATTTACCTTCCTCAGATTTAATCAGAATCCTTTACTATACCATGCTCATAATTAAAGATCCTAACAGTCTAGGTATACAGTGACAAGCATGAAGTAAATCATGGCTCGGTGAGTATTTTTAACTTCTCTGAATCTCTTCCTGTACTTAATCTACAGCATGCCTCCATCCATTCTAATTCAGTACAGTCTTATGGGGAGCTGGGATTGCAGATATTTAAAAAAAAAAAAAAAAAAAATTCAGTGATTTTGAGACATCCTGTCAGGTAGTTTTAGTTTTGATATTTCATAACCAGTAATTCAAAGTAATTCTCATTTGGTGGACAATACTTATCAGGTGATAGCTCTTTAGAGCTCTGTATTTGGGCAACATTTGAAACAAACTCTGAGCTGGTTGTTAGGTACAAACTTTTGAAGATCTGTTCTTATTGTGCTGTAATGATTCACAGTGCTAAAAAAAAAAAAAAAGTTCCCTTAGACACTTTAAATAATGCTAAGTAACGGAGTCTTCCCTTTTAAATCTTGCTGTAATTAGAGACACTCGTGGGAAGCACGTCTATAGAAGAACGGCACACGAAGACGTCTGAGCTGTCTTCAGCTCTGGTATCTCCTAAGTCATAGGTTTCCTGAAAATGGTAGACCATATAAAAGGACATACAAAACAAACATGCATTTGTGCATCTCTCGTTCCCCTGAGTTCATCACAAGCTACTTTCAGGGATGTACAGGCCAACTAGAGGAAACAACCTTGTGCTACATCTAAAATAGTTTCAGACTGGCTTTTTTATTACCACTCAGGTAATTTGCAACTGGCAGTAACAGCAAGTTAAATTTTATTTTACTGACACAGAAACAAGTGAGAATTTATTTTTCCCTTAAACTTTTGAATTATTTCTAGCTTGCTATACTCCCACCTTTTAAACAACTGCTATATAATGTTTGCATTGCTTCCAGCTGGTTTGTCATCTCTTTAACACAAGATTTTATTTTTTTTTTTGACTCATTTTTCTTAACAGACCATTAGTCGAGCTATGCTAGAATGCCACAAAAAGTTGTTTTTATCTCATAAGTATGTACTCTTATATTATTGGCCAACAAGAGACTGTAGTATTTTAATGTAGCGTAACACTATTACTGCTCAAAACATCTGCATTTTAAAAGTTAGGCTCAGACATTTCCAAGTAGGTAGAGTGTATGATATTCCTAAATTTAAGGAATGCTTTGGTAATGCAAATTATTTCAGTGGGATAAATGACACCTTTCTAAGGAGGGCATATTAATTCATTCTATGTCTCCTGCAATTGTTCTCTTTACAATCGTTGCTTTCAAGACAGAAAACCTCTCCTTTGACAAGTATTTTGCTGATGTATGGAAGTTACTTACAGAGTAGATTTACTAGAAGCTCTTTAAAGCTGAACAAAGCACAAAGAAGGCAAATTAGCTTCTCATCTCAAGTGAGGATTAAGTTAATGCATCATGAACAATACTTCCTCTAGTAATTTAAGCACAGTTTGCTCCACAGTTCCAGAACGACAACAGAACAATCATAAGTATCAGTGAAACCCTGAATCTCCATGTAATAAATTCAAATTATAAACTGAAACAACTCACTTTATGACAGCCTGGAGCTTCTCACAGAGGACAGTGAGGACAGATACAACATCATCACAAAGAGACTCAGCTGAAGTACCTCCAAAAAGGACAAATATCAGAGGCGTTACATAGTGAAGCTGGACTACAACCTCAATTCACTGCATGAACTTTCAGAGCTGGTTGGAGCTTCTAAACAATGTGCACGGCTGCCAAAATTCAC